ATCTTGCTATAAATAGACCATATATAATGTTTAATGCGTGATTTGATAAATGTTTGCTTTGATAAGTGCTTAAAAGATTTATTTGTTTTGAATGCTTTGATTTTGTGTAAAAATGAGATTTTGTGCTTGAACATTAAGCTAAATTCATCAAACAAATTTATCTTTAAGTTTGGTCAAATAAAAAAAAGGGAGATTGTTAGCCTTGAATTGATCCTTATTTTGAAATGACGAAACATTAAGCTAAATAAGCTTGATTATGATTTTGCAAATAGATTTATTTAATACTTTTTTTAAAGTTTTATTATTTGTGTACTAAATGTATAATATGTTTTTGAAAATGATATTTGATTTGCAAAAACTTGGAAAACTTGGAAAAATGTTTTGAACTCAAAATGAAAATGCTTTTAAATAATTTACAAAGTGAAAAATGATATAAGATCAAAAATCAACTTCTTTCCATGTTTAAAGAAGGTTTTATACAAGTTTGGAAAGAAGGGATCGATCCCCTGAGATATAAGATTGATTGGGTTTAGAGTTCAAAAAAACCAATTGATCCTCTAAGGAAATGGATTGATCAATTTTTTATCCAAAAAGCCACGAGATTGCAAACTGGCTAAAAAGGATTGATTCTTACAAAAAAGGATTGATTGAGTAAGGTAAGGGATCGATCGGGTCCAAAAAGAGATCAATTGGTTCTTGCTTAAAAAGGTTCAAATGGCTAGTTTTTCAAAAGTTCAATACGTATTTTCATCACTAATCCATCCCGAACAGCTACAAACTCATTTTTTCTATAAATAGGGCATTCCAACACACCATAGAACAAGAAAAAATAAGAGAACAAGCACGAACAAGTTTTACATTCACTCTCTTAAGAAATCAATAGTTCTTAGAACTTTAATTCCATTTTTTTTTTTTGTATTTCTTGTATCCAAACTATATTTTGTTATTCTTTCTTTATTCTTTGTACTTCATTACGCAAACACCAAACCTTTGAAAGGTGTATTTAGTTTGCGAAACATTAGAACTATTTTGTAATCAAAAGGTGATGCATCATCTTGAATAGTTTGAAAGTTTTTGTAGAAACTCATTTGATGAGATTAGAGATTACTAACTTAGCCTAGAAAGATAGGGAATTAGATGTTGCTATCTTAGCCTATAAAGATAGGGAATGAGAGGTTGTTATCTTAGTCCTTAAAATATAGGGATTGTATTTTGATTCAACTAATGGATTGATCTTAACTTGAAGAGAGAAAGAAAGGACATAGGTGCATTTAGAGAATGACCGAACCTTTATAAATTATTGTGTTAATTGTATTTTGATTCAACTAATGGATTAATCTTAGCTTGAAGAGCAAGGGAAAAGGACATAGTGCAATTGGAGAATGATCGAACCTCTATAAATTATTGTGTTTGATCTTTCTATCCCTATTTTCGACACTCTTTATTTTGATTGTTTCTTATAATTGCTTCAAGTTCATTAATTGTTGTTAATTGCATCACATTTTCATATTAATTTTAATTTTTCATTCAAGTTTTATTGAAATCTTTTTTTGGGAAGAATTTAGAAAAAATCCAATTCACCCACTTTTTGGATTATTATCTACACTTGAACTAACAATGATCAATAAATGAAAAGTGTATAGTGACGTAAAATGCAAAGATACTCGAGAAAATGGATTTTTTTTATGTATAATGCCCAAATGATTAGAATCATATTATTAATGAATGCAAAATGCATTCAAAAGATTGAGGAAAAGAAAAAGAAAAAAACTTCTAACATGTCATCAAACTACCTTTTTTAAATTTTTTGCTAAATCATTTTTTCAAAATTTTCACTAGATCAATCCAAATTTCCTTTTCTTTAAGTTGCAAAGACCTTTGAGGAGGAACCAAATTAATTCTATTGTGTCCCTCAACCATTTTCATCAACTTGGTGAGCTGTTGTTCATCTCCCAAATGTCATGTCAAAAGTTTTCATTATTACCTTCTAAAACAATGATTCATTCCTCCGATTGATCCCTATGTTAAAATTCTTTTGATGTGAACAAAACAAATGTCTTCTTTCTAATGAGATTTAGCAAGAAACTTACATTATTGTACTCTATGTATTGAAAGAAGTAAAATCAAACCGAACTTGCATAATAATAAGTGCACATGAATGTTCATGAATGATGAATGCAATGATGATTAATAAATGAAAAACGTAAAGTGATGTAGAATGCAAAGAAAATGATTTTTCATATGTATAATGCTCAAATGATAAAAAACCATATTACTAATGAATGCAAAATGCATTAAAAAGATTGAGGAAAAGAAAAGGAAATAAACTTCTAACTAGTCATGGAACTACATTTTTTTAAAATTTTTTGCCAAATCATTTTTTCAAAATTTTCACTAGATCAATCCAAATTTCCTTTTCTTTACTCCTTCTTAGACTTCTTTTTTCACATTAGATCACTTTTTCTTTTTTGAAAATTTTCACTAAACCATTTTTCAAAGTTTTCATCAAGTTATTTTAGCATTCTAAAGTTTTGTTTCAAATTTTTTTAACTTTATTTTTTCGCACCAGATTATTCTTTTGAAATTTTCACCAAAGCATTTTTCCAATATTTTCATTGGACTAATTAAGCAATCCAAACTTTTTTGTTTAAATTTTTTAACTCTACCTTTTCACACTAGATTATATATATATATTTTAAAAATTTTCACCAAATCATTTTTCCAATATTTTTACTAGACTACTTAAGCAATCCAATTTTTTTTTTCTTTTTTACACTAGATTGATTTTTTTAGAAAATTTCCACAGAAACAATATGAATTTTTTTTTTACTTAGACTCTTTTCATTCTCTCATTTTTTCCATCTCTTTATTAAAACAAATTGCTCTTTTCTTTTAGGTTGTTTTTGTCTTATTTTAAGAATAAAAAGGAATAAAAAATTTTTTCTTTCCTTTTTGTTGTTTTCTAATGGAAATGATTCATTTTTTGACATACAAGTTAGAAAAAATGAAAAGAAAATCTTTTGCAAAAGTAGAAACTCTATTTTTTTAAGAAAAATGAAAACAAGTCCTATTTTTCTTTTTTCTTTTTTTATGGAAAAAATTGTTTTTTAGAAAGAAATTTTTATATAAAAAAGACTTTTTATTTTTTTAAACAAGAAAGAGAAAAATAATAAAAGGATTTTTTATTTTAAAAGAAAATGTTTCACTTCCCGTTTGAAAGGATAATGCTTTTTTGTTGAATAAAATAAAAAGAATGAAAGAAAGTTTTTATTTTGTTTTTGACTTTTAAAAAGTGCTCTCGATATGAAAATATTTTGTGATTTCTTGTTTTATTGATTTTTTAACAAATAAGATGTTGTGACAAATACATGGTTCCTTTGTGTTCCTTAATTTCAAATACCCTCTATAAAAGGGATTGATACAACTCTACTTAAAATTAGCACCTTAAGGTTCTTTATGTGATTGATTCAGGTTACACATCTAAAAATTCTTATATTTCTTATCGCTAATAGCCACACAAGACTACTAAAGCACTTCGATTTTCACTCATTATAGGTTGCAAATAAAAATGATTGAATTTGAATAAGAGTATTTCGTTAATCATTACAAAATCTATAATTTCATGAAAACGTAAGTACTTTCTTTTTTAAAAAGGGACAAAATTCGAGTATAGAGCTTCTGCATGAAGTATAATGTACCAGTGTGTGTAAAGGAATATGTCAACATTTTATTAAGAAAATTAAATAATTAAGATCAAAGACTTAGGTGATCTTGGGCCTTTTCAACCCCAAAAGCTAGCTCTAGAGGTGAGGCTTTCCTTTACACACTTATAAAGTGCGACTGAGCCCTTTCACAATCGATATGGAATAATCTCAACAATCTCTCATTTGACACATCATACCATGGGAGACAGTTTTTATACTTGGTTCACAAAGAGATTTTGGTAACTTGACTTTGATATCATTTCTAGGTGATCTTGAGTCTTAAACCTAAAAGCTAGCTCAAAAGGTAAGGCTTTCCATCGCACCTATAAATTTATCACTAGCTCTTTCCATAACCGATGTGGGAGAACCTTAGCATATTTAATAATTAAAATGAATAAATATAATATTATTATTCTATCCCTAAATTATATTTTTGTTTAAAATTAATAATTAATTTTTATATTTATTACTTATTAATAAATATTAATAAATTAATAAATTTGTATATATATAATTAAATTAATTCATTTATCACCTTTGGTCTTTCTATATTTTTTTCTTTCCGAAACTAAAAATGTAAAATTTCAACAAAAACAAAAAAAAAATCTCCAATTTAATTCCAACCATAAATTTAAGGACGGATTATTCCGAGTGTAGATTTGATAAATTTCACATAATTTTAAATTATGATTAATTAATTATAATATAATTATTATAAATGATATGCTCTTAATCATTTCAAATTTGAGTTAATTTTTATTCATATCAATTTAATTTCGTATTAGACCAAATTTGAATTGTTAGTATTTTAATCTAATCTAATCAAATCATTTAAATATAAATTTGAGTGGATCAACTTGTACCACCTCTAATATTACGGATGCGCTAATAAATTGTCTAAAACTACAATATTGGAGTGACATGCCTTTCTCTAAAAAAAGTTCACGGACACAATAGGTCCTATGCCTGCAATTATTCATTTATTTCACTTATAATTTGTGTTTGTGTAGTGAGTGTACATATATAAATTTATTATTAACAATGCAATTTAAAAACCATATTAAATGCCTAAAACTTAAAAATTTGATTATCAAAGCTCAAATGACATATTCTAATTGTTTTTTAAGTTCTTCTCATTTGAATTTAGCCAAATATATATATATATATATATATATATAGAGAGAGAGAGAGAGAGAGGGGTGCTCTTTGTCCGTTTTGGGAGTTCGGGTAGGAAGGCGGGCGGGGAATATGGAAATGGTTTTAGGAAGGGGTATTTAAGTAACTGAGACAGACAGGCAGCGCAGCTTAAAACCCTAATTCCCTCCAAATCATATTTAGCGTTTTTTCTCCTCCCAGCACGCCGCAGAAAACATATCTCGCAAGCCGCAGCGATAAAGAGAGAAAATGGAGGCCGCAAGAACAGTTAAGGACGTTTCCCCCAACGAATTCGTCAAGGCTTACGCCGCCCATCTCAAGCGCTCTGGCAAGGTTCTTTTGCACTTCTTCCCTCTACACTAATCTTTCCAAATTTTATCTCATTTGATTGTTAGAGATGCAACTTAGGGCCTTTAATTAATTTGTGATTTTGCCACACTGAATCTTGGAATCCGACATGTCTTGTTTATTTTTCCTTGACGTTAAAGAGAATGGGGTTTGTTTTTTCTTCATAAAAAAAAAAAAAAAAAACCAGATCGAGCTTCCTCCCTGGACTGATATTGTCAAGACTGGTAAATTCAAGGAGCTTCCTCCCTATGACCCTGATTGGTACTATGTCAGAGCTGGTATGCCTATTTATCGCCTCATCAATCATAAGTAATGTGCCATTATATGCATATTTATGTTGTAATGAACGCCATATTCTTTTACTTGGTAGCTTCCATGGCAAGGAAAATATACATGAGGGGAGGTCTTGGTGTTGGTGCCTTTAGAAGGATTTACGGAGGGGCTAAGAGAAATGGAAGTCGCCCACGCCATTTCTGCAAGAGCAGTGGATCTGTTGCTCGTCATATACTTCAGCAATTGCAGAATGTTAATATCATTGATATTGATCCTAAGGGGTGAGTTTTCTATGGTACGATTGTTTCATTCATAATCTCTGATTGCTACCGTCATCATGCGTTTATTGTATTGCATGTTATCAACATATGTCATCTGTTAATATATCAAACTAAAATTTACCCGGTGTATCAGCGGTAGGAGAATCACATCAAACGGCCAACGTGATCTGGATCAAGTAGCTGGAAGGATTTCGGTTGCAATATGAGAAATTTTAACAGATGCTTTCCTCTTCTTGATATTTAGTTGTTTGAAAGGACAATCACATCATTTTTCTTCCTAGTATACACCGCACTGAGATATGATTTTTTTATTATTATTTTAAAAACCAATATGCTAGTTGTTGAGTATCACCGTCGATTTTGAATTCTATTGAAAACTCGATCTCGAGATTGCTCATCTGCTTGTTCTGTCGTCATCATTTCATTGTCCAGAACTGAAACCTTCGTTTTGATGCCTATTGGTGTTTTATAAATATCGGGCGGTAATCTGATTTGTTAGGGGATCTACCCTGTGAACGAATTTTGTTTGATCCGTTGGTAATGAACTTGGAATTAGTGATGAATGGAAAATTTTCTTTAATGCTATGGTTGGTAAGAAGAATGAAATTTTTTTAATCTAACAATTGATAGCTAGTTTTAAGTGTGATGCACGTAATTTTGTATAACAAGAACTTTAAGTAGTGTGATATTATTTTCAAAATCGTTCGTAATCTGATTATGAGGGTGATAAAATATTTTTTTAATCTAACAATTGAGAGTTAGTTTTAACTGTGATACATAGCATGTAATTTTGTATAAAAAGAACTTAAGTAGTGTTCGGTATCATTTTCATAGTTACTGTAGTAATTTAATTATAGTGAAAAATCAATAAGGTGATTTGATCACCAGTGATCATATATCATTATATTTAGTACAATATTATAAATTACAAGTGATTTTAAATTATTATGTTTAGTTTTATATAAAAAAAATTATTTAGTACAAAACATCCAAAATAATATTGTAAAAACAAAAAAATTTTTATATTTATTGAATCAACAATTTATAAAATAATTAAAAGATATTTTATAAAAAGATTACAAAGTAAAATTCAATTTCGATAAAAATAATTTTTTTAAAAATTATTTAATAAATTTATTATCTTTTTTCTAGTTAATATAAATTTATAATATAAATTTTTTTTTAGAATAAGTAATTAAAAATTTTTAGTGGTTAGCTTGTTAGAGTAGTGTAAAACCTTTCCATCCTATAAGTTGAGAATTAGATTATTCCCCAAAGAAGTCATTTTATCACCACAATAATTTAAGATCAATGACACAAAATTTTCAAATTACTATAGAATAAAGTAATATAATTATTGAATATAAATCATCATAATTTTTAAACGGATCACTTCATATTACTCTCTCAATGTAAAATAAATAAGAAAAAAAATAAAAAATTAGATATTAATACATAGCTATAATAAATTTTAAAGTAACATTCTTTTGGATCATGTCATACAACAGTATTATTTACACAATTTAATAATGTCTTTCATTCCAAACAATTGGAATTTATTCTTTTTAAAATCAATTCCATTTATGAACTTTTTTTCATAATTTTTTTATAAGTGCTTATTTTATAAAATCAATTTTGTCTATAAACATTTTTTTTTATGATTTTTTTTCATAAGAGATTATTCTATAAAATGTTGCAATTGATTATTTAATGATTTTTATTATTTGTGAATCATTTTATTTGATGGCCCCATAGATAAAATAACTATAAATGATAAAGTCGAATATTTTTATTTATTTACTTTAAATTAGCCAAATATGCTCTAATTAAAGTTTTATTAAAAATTTTTTAGTAGAACTTTCTAAGACATAATCTTAATTAATTTATACCTACTTTTTTCAATAATTTTCCACTCAAGTTAAGTATTAAAACTTGATAAACATGAATTAGCTTATAAAGTAAAATAATTTCACAAAAACATCAATTAGTTTAAAGTATATAATGAAAAGTAAACAACATAATAAATATTAATTTATATAAAATGGAAAAACTACTATTAGTTTATGCAAACTATTATGATAAAAAAATGCTAAATCTAAAAACCATAGGAACATATATATAGTAATACGTGAAATGCAAACTAAGGCAAATGGAGTGTTTGAAGATTTGATGCATGTTAGTAGAAATTTTTGGTGCTCAAATTTTATCAAAATAAAGGCCGTAAGGTTTTTTCCAGTTAAAAACCTTGAATTGAATGCTAAAAATATGAAAAGTAAATCAACTTTATCATAAGAAAATGTTAAGGATATTAATGTTATCTACACTTAATGGAGAACCTGACTTTTTACAGGAATGGAGATAAAGATAGGTATTTCATTGTGAGGATGAGTATAATTTTAAATTTTTTACGAGGTATGGGATGGGGATAGATGATATAGCATCCATCTCGTACCTATATCCATATTTTACGTATATATATATATATATATATAGTAAATAGATTTTTTTATTAAATAATAAAAATTATTATTTTGATTAATTAGAACTAATATATTTTTATTATATTAGTATATTTATAAAAAAAATTACATAAATATGCAAGATAAAATTTTTTTTAATAAAGTTAAAAAAAGTTGTTTTTATTATTTTTTTAAACTATAAATATGGAAATTGCTCATATTCATTAGATACCTACAGGGATTCCATGGGGACGAGAATAGAGATAAATTTGAAATATCTATGGGTACGGATATGAGATGAATGTAATATAAAAATTCGAGAATGAGATAAGGAATACTTTATCCACCCTATACCCTAGCCATTAACATTTATAGAAAATGTTATAGTCCCATTACTTTTATCTCGAATGTTTTGTATTCTTTGATAGGACATATAATTATTGATTTGATTATATGTTAAAAAACTAAAAAATAGGCTAAATTAAATGTTAGAAAAAAAGTACGCTACACAAATATTTAGAAGCGTGAATAGAGAGTAGTTATAGCTAAAACTAAATAAATGTATAAACTAAAAAGAAACATTTCGTAAGTGTGATTATTGTTTTAAAGGCTATTGAAAACACTTTGTACATAGTTGCATGAAAGTACTTGAGTAACAAATATGAAAGAATATCACTATAGACACTTATTTTGTCCATAAAACCAAACTTGTGTCAAATAAATTTGAATCGATTTTTTTTATTTGGTTTCGTTCAGATATCTTAATTGAGTTTGTCAAAGTATTTTTGAGGTCCAATTAAATTTTTAGGCAACGATCTAAATCTATTAGGCAACTCAAGTTCATTCTAAATTTTTAACCTAATCTTGACAAATTTAAAATTCAACAAAAAAAAAATAAATTTATTTTTAAAATTTACATTTTTTTCATTTATTTTTATTATTATTATCATCATCATCATCATCATCATCATTATCTTTCTTTTCCTTTCTTTTTCATTTCATTTCTTTTCCCATTCCCTCATCCCTTCCCCAAAGTCTTGGTGCATTAAATGCACCAAAAATCAACCACTTGCTAGCATCGATTACCAACCACCATGACTTCCAACCTTTGCAGCAGAAATCATAGGGTAAAAAAAACCACATTGATGCCTTAAAAGTCATTGATGATGCCCAAAATTCTACAATATTCCCAAAAAATTTGGCATCTGATTTCCAAACAAGCTTTATAAATTAAGAGCAAATTCACAAAGCAAAGAACAAGGACAAAACCTATAAAAGAAAAAAAAAACCCAAAAAAAAAAACCCCTCCAAATTGAAAAAAAAAAAAAGAAAATAGAAAAAATTTTACAAATCAAAGCTTACTACCAAAGGTTTTTTCAAGTTTTTTTTTTTTTTAATTTTCCACCACCATAAAAACACAAACACACTTCCCTTTAAATAAAGATCATAGTGCCAAAAACACACAAAAAAAAGGCCAAAACTTTTAAGCCTGATCTACGGCTTTTGAGCCTATTTTTTATGAAACAAAGGCTTTGTGTTCAATAGGTTGAAAATAGCAAAAAGGTGAACTTTTGGGAATTTTTTTGACTATCGGAGACGGTGGTCGATGGTGGTGATGGTGATTGGCAACAACAAAAGCTACCAAAAATCGGGTTTTAGATAGAAAGAAGCAAAAGAAAAATAAAAGAAAAATTTTTTTACTTTTATAGAAAAAAGAACAAAATGACATTGTTTTGGGATAAAAGATTCATGTGCCAACCTAAGACCTAACCTAGGATCCACAGACTTGACCTGAAAACCTATACCCTATGAGGTATATCAGCCAAATCGGCTCAAACTGGGTTAGATCGGCCTGAACCACTACAGACCATATTGAATTACGAAAAATCGATATCGAACTACACTGAACCATATTGAACTGCACGAAACCACTCCAAACCAATTGAAAAGCACTAAACTGGTTGAACGAACTTTGGACTGTTGACCACATTGACCAATGGCATTTTCGATATTTTCATCATAATTTTTTATTTTTTTTTATTTTTTATTCAAAAATTTTTTATATATTTGTCTATTTTTGTGATTTTTATTTTATTTTTATGTGAGCTTTGATAGGGAAAATAAAATAATGGTGAAAAATATTTAGGAAAAATAAAATATTTTTTAGTTAAATTTTATTTAAAATAATTATAAAAATAAAATTAGGAAAAGGTTGATATATTACTTTTCCTAAATACTTTTAAACAAAAATAAAAAGCAAAAAATGAAAATTTTTGTTCAAAAATGCGAAGGAAAAAGTTGAACTATCAATTTTTCCTAAATTCTTTAACATTAAAATAAAATAAGATAAATATAAATAAAATAAATTTTAAAAAAAATCTATGGAAAAAGTTGAAATATCAAATTTTTCTAAAATTCTTTAGGAGTAAAAGTAAAATAAAATAAACAAAATCAAGTAAAGAAAAAAGTTAATATAAAATTTTCGTTATAATAAATTTTTAAAAAAAATGTTTAGAAAAATATTGAAATATTAATTTTTCCTAAAAATTGAAAAATAAAATTATTGGATCTTCCAATGATTGAATTACTAGAAAGTTGCAATAGCAATTTATAGGTAAATTCATAAGGAAGATATTTTCTAAATATTACTAAAATATTAAAGTATTTAGAAAATTGTTTAATATCAAAGATTCTAATAAGCAAATAACTAATAAAAATATATATTTTTTAAATCTAACGCCAAAGCCCCTTCAAAAGTATCAATAGATATCTTGAATACTCTTAAGGTGAAGAAATACTTTTAAAGTTTTGCTAAAATATTAGAGTAATTTAAAAATAAATTTTAATAATAA